TTTTTTGGTTTCTTCTTTAGGGTTTTCTAGCAGGTCTGGTGATCAGAATGTGACTTGGCAAAAATCTCTGGTAGCCCTCCCTAGCTCCTTTCACTTACACTGAAATTTGAAAGACGTATTCCCATACAAATAATGTTATAAACAGTGGTCAGATTTCTAGATCCATCAACAAAAATCCTTTTTCATACAAATGTGACTAAACTAGAGTTCTAACAGTATGCTAACATTTCAAAGACAACCCCAAGCATAAAAAGTGATATGAACGCAGAAGTAAAAGAAAAGAGTGACAGCCTGTCTGGAAAGAGACAATCCCTGACCATGTAAGGATGGAAACAATCAAGGGCAGGGAAGGTGTAAAGAATAAATATGATGCCCTAGGAGTGGGAGATTCACAGAGTGGAAGAAAGATCCCTGGTGTGGCCTCGGATGAGAAGTTGTAGGAATATAGATCTCTGTTGAGGTCTAGGAGTCCCATTTTCCCCAGCTTTATTGTGGCAAGGCAACTGTTTCAAACTTTGTATACAATCTCTCTAGCTGGGGACCAGCAAGTCCCCTTTTCTTTTTTCATCTGATTAAGCATTTTGAGATGAGTCATACCCCAACTGAAGATATTTTGCCATAGAACTTTTTGCATATTTGAGCTCTTGGGCAATTTTGTTCTGGAATATGACAATTCTATTTCTGTCTATTTCACTTATTATATTGCACTGCTCAAAACCCTCAAAAATTAGTCCCATTAACTTGCTGAAGACATATTCCAAACTCTATGGCAGCATTTCTATTAATAAACAGTGGGTCTGAGCATCTTAGTTAACTTAAATTACTCTACATCAGGAGCAAACTAACCTCTTGATGCCTGTTTATACTCTGTCATGGTGGGGAGACTTCATTTACCTTTATTGTCTTTTTGTCGTGAAGATTAAGTGACATAATCTGGCAAACATCTAGCAGTGTCTAACAGATAGTAGACACTCAAAAAGGGGAGCTTCTAAGTCAAAAAGGGAGTCTTAAAGGCTGACTTTTCTTCCTATGTATTTTAGAGTATTAAGATCATTTAGAACAATGTCAATGTTTTGCTTTTCTATGTTTTTTAAAACGGCACGTTTTTCTGTGTGACAAAGAAAAAACAAAGTAATATTTGAGAGTATGATTACTGATTATACTTAAATGCAGAATCAGTGTTTGCATTCATTCTAAATTCCATCAATCCTTCAACTGTAAACAAGACTAACATTAGGGTATAACAAAATTTCACTTTGCACAGAGGAATTCAGCCCAGGATTTCGGACTTTTTAAGAGCTGACAGCATATTTAAAGAGTTCAATGCCCCACTCAGCAGGGCCTAAGCGTTCCCCCAATAAAACTGGCAGGCCACCAACCGCCCCGTCCCAGGGCACCCTGAAGGAATGCTGATAAGCCGAGGCGGGAAGTCAAGTCCCGGTACTAGGAGCCCAGTCCTAGGCTCACCGATCCAGGGGTTTTGATCTCCCCTCCTTTTCCCTCCCCTTCCTTTCTTCTCCAGGAGTCCCTGCTCCTCAACCCCGCCCCCATTTGGCTTCCAATCCTATCTCGCCTGGCGCTCGGGCGGCCAATCAGGAGGCGGCCCTGCCGAGGGGGCGGGACGAGGGGCGGGGCTGAGCGGCAGAGCCCCAAGTCTCTTACTTCAGGCACGGGGCTGGAGACGCGTGATCCCAGGCCGCCTGCGACGTTCTGCGACTCCAGTCAGACACCATGGCGGACAGCCGGGATCCAGCCAGCGACCAGATGAAGCTCTGGAAGGAGCAGCGGGCCGCGCAGGTACACCCTGCGCTCTCCGAGCCGGCCCTACGGTCCTCGCACGAAGCTGGGCGACCGCGAGTAACGGCCCTGTTTCTCCAGAGCGGCGGTTCCGGGGCGGGGGTGGGGGGACTGTACCACCGATCGGGGACCGGGGTGGGGCTGCCTTTCGGTCCGGTTGGACTGTTACATTCGCGGGGAGAAGGGGAGAGGGTTCTGGGGCCGGGGGCAGCCAGACCTGCAGGGTTTGTTGTCAGCCGCAGGGCGTGGGTTGTTGGATCATAATTTTGCACTCTTGCCATCTGGGACAGAGGTTGCAGCTGGAAGCACGAGCGAAGGCCCACGGGGAACGAGGCAGAGAGCTGCAGCTGCAAGAAGGGAAGTTGGGTGGCGGGGGGAGTGGAAACAGGCTCTAGTTTTGCCCGCTCAAACAGTAACTACCAGGTTTCATATTTGCGGGATGCCATGGGGGCAAGGACCGTGTTTTATCATCTCAGTGTCCCTAGCACCGTACACACAGCATTAAACGACTAAATAAAACGATTTTTACATCCATGATTTCTTTTGCACTTAAAAACATAAAGCCTAGCATTTTAGAGCTGGAAGCGACATTTCAGATTAATTAATGCGTTTATTCCACAGGTATGGTTTGAGTGCCTGCATGTGCCAGGCACTGGCTGGGATGAGGGGTACAAATTCCAATGAGGCCAGAATTGGCTATGGAGAAGTTCAAAGTCTAGTCCGAAAGACAAGACAGATAAACAAATGATTACCTTCCAGCGTGGTGAGGGCTCTAATATAGCTTATCTGTAAAGTATAAAGGGACTGACGGCCTGGGCTGACAGGTTTGTCAAAGCAGGTGACATCTGAACAAGAGCTTTAAAGATGAGTAGGATTTCAGCCCAGTGGTGGTGGGCCAGGCATTCCTGGCCTATACCCAGGAGTGCAGAGTCTTAAAGGGCATCTTTAGATGAGGGCACATCTGTTCTGAGTCTTCTTTTGTCAAATTGGCCCAGAGAGTCCTTGCCCAGTTCCCATGGCAGCTGGTTAGTGGCAGAGAGAGTACTAACTAGAGTCATGCCTCTAGTCCTTTAGTCATCTTGCCTCTTCTTGCCTCGTGCTCTTTCTCAAAACCAGGTTAGTATTCAGGAACTGGGGTATGAATGCCAAGTGCTTGTGGATTGCCTTAGAGTTCCCTATATGTGAGAAGACAGCCATCCTCCTCTAAGGGCCTGGAAAACCTCTTTTCTCATTCTGTCCTGTATTGTACGCCACTAGGGTATTTAGTTTTTCATGAGTTCTTAGTCAAAGTGAACGAGAGAGACTTGTAATCTTACTAATCAAAGACAAGCAGCTAGTGAGTGGAAGAGTCAGAATTAGAACTCAGCTTCCTGGGGCCAGGACTGTCCATACCCAGGGGTTGCCACATCCTGGTTCACATAGGTTTTCATGACTACTCGGTGAATTGAGAAAAATATGGACAATGTAGCAAGTTTTTCGTAAAACAAAATTTATTCATCTTTAAAGGACTCCCCTGCGACTAGCTTGCCTCTTCATTGTTTGGGAGAATCATTAACTATTGTTAAATCATTAAGACCTTGCTGGTGGCTTACCCTAGATGGTTGCCCATGTGAGAAACAGCGGGCCCACAGAGCACACCTGTAATTTGGGGACTCCTTGTTGAGCTACTGCTGCCTCCTCTGCCCGAGCATCTCAGTGTACGGTTTACATTGTCCTGATTGGTGGTCACGTTGATGTCGTGTTCCTTGCTTTCAGCTGCTCTGAGTCAATATTGTTTATTTCTTTGAGGTGATCCCCCCACAAAGGAATTTTGCATATGTCATAGTCTTTTTAAGTTTTCAGTGCTTTATTTTGAGAATTTTCGAACGTTCAGAAAAGTAGAAAGAATTGTGTAGTGCCTACCCATATATCCACCACTTTTTTTTTTTTGCTATATATATCTTTTATAACATGTTATTCCAGCTGACCATCCCTTCATACATCCATTAACCTGTTTTTTGGGGGTGCATTTCAGAGTAAGTTGTAGACATCAGTAGACTTGACCCTTAAACACTAAGCATGCAAATGAACAGAACTCAGTGTTTATTTATATTTTTAAGGTAAAATTTACATCCAGGGAAATACACAAATACTAAGTGTACTAAATACAGACACTTGTGAATCCCATTCCTTTATTGAGATATGGAACCCTCATCACCCTGGAGCATTCCTGATGCTGTTTTCCAGTCATTTCCTGCAACCTCTTCAGTCTTGCCCCAGGCAGCCGCTGTTGATTTACTTTTTTATCCATTGATTCCTGTACTTTTTGCGTAATGCTGCTTTCATTCAGCAAATATGTTTTAAGATTGAAAACAAAAAGTTTCAGGGTTCTTTCACATTGTCATATGTATCTGTAGCTCTTTTTATTGTTGAGTTGTTTTCCATTGTGTTAATATCCCACCATGTGTTTATCCTGTTGCCAGGCACCTAGGCTCATTCCAATGTTTGGCTAGAATGAATAAAGTTTCTATAAGGGATCTTATACAAGTCCTTTTGTGCATATATGCTTTTATTTCTCTTAAAAAATACCTACGAGTAGAATTGCTGAGTCATAAGGTAAGTGAGTGTTCTATGAGAAGCTGCTAAGTCTTTTTCCAATATGGCTGTACCATTTTACACTTCCATTGACAGTATTTGAGAGTTCCATTTGCTCCACATCCTGCCATCTTTTGGTATTGTCATTCTTTTAATTTTAGCCATTCTGGTGGGTAGGAAGTGGTACTTGCAGTGCTCTGATGACCAGTGAGGCTGAGCATCTTTTCATGTGCTTATTTGACCACTGGTATATGCTGCTTTGATAGATCTGTTCAAATCTTTTGTCCTTTAAAACATTGGATTGTTTATCTTATTATTTTTGATTCATAGTCCATATTTTAAATATGATTTTAAAATCGTGTGTGGGTTAAATGCTTTAATAATATATCCCAAAGTGTATAATGGTATAAACACATTAGAAATGTATTGCTCTTACATGATTAGCCAAAGGGGTAGTGAGTACTCTGTAGCTCACAGTTATTGAGGGCTGCAGGCTGAACGAGGCTTCCCCTTCAGCATCACTATCTAGTCACAGAAGGTGAAGAGCTTGGAGGAGAGTAGGTAGGAGGTTTAAAGGCCAGGCTGGAAGTGGTGTAGGTCACGTCTCCTCACATTCCTTAGGCTAGAACTCTGTCACATGGCCACACCTAATTTTGAGGGAGGCTAGGAAATGTAGTCTACCTTTGTGTGTAGAGAGCCAACCCTACTACAGTATCCAAACATACATTCCATGTGCTGAAAATCTCTAGCCGTTTTCTTGTGGTGTTGTGATGGGCAAACAGGCGTAAACTCTTTTAAAAGAGTATGTCCTTTTTACTTTCTGACATTAAAATATTCTTTCTGTTAAGAGAATTATGACAGTAAAGGATGATATATATTGTTTAACTCTCCCCTTGCGTAAGTGGGCAGTGGGCAGCCTTGTATCAGTATCCTCCCCCCCCCACCCCCAACACCAGTTTGTTTTTATTTTGTCTGAACTGTGAGCACTTAAAGTTATGGAACTTCGGTCGGAGGGCACCCTGTAATCTCCTCCCTCAAGAGCCAGATGCCACATGGCAAGCTGGGTGTCTCCTCCTTTGGAACCAGAGTGTCAGCCAATGTGAGAGCAATTTATTGGGCGTCTCTCCTTGTGGGCATATTTTGCTGCTGACAAGCGAATTGGGAGTTTTGTAAGCTTTAACAAGTGAACGGTGAATCAGATATGTTCATAGGTATGCCTTGGATCTTCTTAAAAATCAATTTCTTTTTCTCTCAAAATACATTGAGAGAGAACCTGAGGGAGGTGGTTTTGCAGATATTCCCAGTCACTTTGGAACTTAGACAGGAACTTCGTTGTTTATTGCTTAGAATGCCCTTGGTTCTTCCTTTGGGATACTTAACTGTAATTAGTAGTCTCTGATCCCTTAGAAAGTGGAAAATTTGAGCATTTCAAACCTTTCCTTTTTTTTTTTTTTAACAGTTCCCTTATTACTTGGGGGAGAGCTTGGGTCTTAGCCCGTCCATTCCCATCAGTGAGTCATAAGACAGTGCCTTTGAGGGTCTATGTATGTTTTGGGGTAACTTGATAATAACTGCATTGATTTAACACTGCCAGCATTTGGGCTGGGGAAGGAGTGACCGAGTAGCTTCTCGTGTACATGTGTTTTCATTTCTAGTGGGAACTATCTTGAAGTGGAGTTTCAGGGACATAGGGTGGCAGGAGGAGAGAGACAGACACTATGAAAAGTTGAATCAAAATTTCTAAGCATTCACGTCTATTAGCCAATATCTGGACCACCCGTATTTCTTTTCCCAGGTAAGAAGAGAGTCTGATTGCAAATGTAAAACAAGCAAATGTTTATTTTTGTTTATTTTTTCATTTTTGTTCTTTATTTTCTTTCTGAGTACTGTGACGACTGTAGTTTCAACTGCAGGGAGTAAAGGACTCTTACATTTGTAGATCAATTACCCTTCGTTTTTTGAGCCCTTCTCTTATTCCCTTTTCTGAAAAATCGAAGGACTAGGTCAATTCTCAGTGCTTATCAGACTTATTTAGTAAAGTCAGTTTCAAGACAGAGAAAAATCTCTTTTGCAATAGCTATTCTGTGTATTTTCAAGGTTTTATTCTTGGTGGGATTGTTCTAAGTGTTTGCTAATTACTGAAAACCAGTAGCAATGTGTTTTGATCATATCTTGCTAGAAATTTGGACAACTCACCAAGAAGAGAGGAAGAAGTATTAGAAACTACTGTGACATGTTTGCTCTCTTACAAAATAGTATGAAACAGCCTTGGACTTGAAAAGCAAACATTTCCCATTTGGGTGAGGAAGGAGGTGCTGTCAGACAGTCTGTGCTTAGGTCCAGCCATGTGATCTTGAAGCCTGATATTTATTTTCCTTGTAAAAGGCAACCTTTGTTTTATGTTTCCCCTGGAATTAAAACTGCCC